AAAAGAGTGGGGTAAACTAGTAGAGAAAGAGCAATACTAATGTCGTAAGGAAGATATCCACTGTAAATTAAAGCAGACGTTGTACTAATTGAATTGTCCAGCTTGAAAATAGACTGGTCACCAATAATCACTTTAAAGAGGCATTTGCAACAAGCTAGTCCACAAGATGATGATGAATTAATGGTTCACTTACACAGTGAGTGTCACTCGTAGCAATAAACTAATTTAATAATTGATTGGTAAAGGAGAAGGATGTGAACCATACAGGTCGTAATCAGAAGTTACTTCGAAAACAGGCAAATATTAGAGGTTCTATTTCTTCAACTTTCTATGTATGAATATGAATGAAACCACGCTGTGCATTAATCACTTTCGTTAAGGGGCTATACACAAAGCTTGGAATAAAATGACAATATTATTGGACTCGTTCGCTCTTTTTCAACGGCTTGCTAGCTACGTGATGTTGACAAAGAACAGCATAACAAGTCAGCTAATTTTGCATTCAATGTACACATATGCATCTCTTGAAGAAGGCCAGTGGAATTAGATAGATCCGCCGCTAACAAAACTTTCAACAAGAATATTAATGCTCAGTTAGACATTTGTTAACTTTAATTTGAAGAATTTAGACAGCAAAATTAAAAGCAGTTTAAAAGTATCGAGTGTTTTTGAAGACTAATTGGACAATGCAAGATTCCCTGCAGTTTCATATATGGATGAATGCGAGGGTGCAAGGGGGAGCTTTCCCTGCAATTTTACTATTCCGTTGCAATTTTAAAAACAATTGTGTTTGTAAAAATATGAAAATTGGTTTTAACGCCTTATATTTTAGATGGCTTTCAAATTTTCCCCTTCACGTATGTTTTGATGAGTTATTGAAATATAATATTTTTTGCACTTTGCAGAACTTGTTTGGATGTCAAATGTTAGTGCCTTAGCAGCGTCAATACTAGTGTGGGAAAAAAGTCTCATGTCAAATAAAATTGGGTAAAAAAAAAAAGGTATATAAGTGAATTAAAAAAATAATAAAATCCTTTTGAATTAGTATATAAATGAGAACCTAATCTCTTAAAATGCCATAATTCACTAAAATTTTTAAAAACTTTTGTGTCGATAAATTTTAAAGTGAAAAGATTATTTTATCCTTATTAAAAATAATAAGTCGCAGTCATAACTTTTATTTTGTGAATTATAAGAATTAAATAAAAAATTACAACTTGTTAAGCGTAATTTCTGTTATTAAAAAACAAACCTCAATCATAATTTTTGTTTAAAAAATAATAACTTTTGTTGCGTAAATCGTAAAAATTAAATAAAAAATTATAACTTGTTAAGTGTAACTTTAATTGTTGAAAAAATAAGTTCTCAAGATAGCAAATTTTATTCACAACTTTTGTTTAAGGAATAATAATTTTTATTTAAAAAATTGTAAGAATTGAACAATAAATCATAATTTATTAATAAGGATAAAATAGTTTTTTCAATTTAAAATTTATTAACACAGAGATTCCTAAATACTTTAAAAAAATTATGATATTTTAAGAGATCATATTATCATTTATATAATTTAGGGAGATTTTACTGTCATTTCCCCTTAAAATAACTCTTAAATTCAATGTATTAAATTTTTGAATTACGATGTAATGTTGTATTCACATACATGTATTTATCTTAAAACTGTTGGACAACTCAACTATATTCCTCTTATTTTGGGAACAACATGACTTTTGCTAAATTAAAAAAAAAAGTGTTTTGATTGGATTGCTTTGGAAATTTTTATTTGATATAACAAGTCTTTCCATATTTTATAGGACTCTCTTTCTCTTTCTCTTTCTGTTTTTCGGTTGCACGTTATTAACGTTGCGATATTTTTCCTCCCATGTCTTCCTCTCTCACTTTCATAAGTCACCACAATCTCTTTTAATTTCTCACTTTCCCTTTCTTAATAAATAATAGGAAGGCGAAAATTGACGACATCCATTGAATATGACACTACAGGGAATTACATGCGTGTTCTGTCTAGTCTTGTACTCTTCAAGTCCTAATTTAGAGGGCGGAGAAGGGAAAAAAAATTGGTTCTATTTACAAGATTTTTTAATGATCATTACATTTATCTTTACCCTTTTGCTATGTAAAATATTAGGAAAGTTATTAAAAGTTTGAGTATTTTATTTTTAAAATATGTGTATTTGATAAAAATAAAGTTGAAAACTTATTAAATTTTTTGATAGGATTAATAAAGTTTAAAATTTTTTTAATTCTAATAAAATATATTAAAAATAATTTATAAATAAGATTGAAGGCAGTATATCCCATTTCAGCTTACCATTGTGTATTTTATCTTTATTATGTGCAGGAAAGGGAGAGGAAGAGCTGAACAGGTATTAATAGTTCATATTATTTTTAATTTGTTGATGTTTTAAATAAAAATAAAAAATAATTTTACTAACAATGATATCGTCCAGTCCAAGGGACTTAAGTTTCCTTAAATAAGTTTGATTATTGGAACCTTATAAATAAAAAAGCTACCTGGAGAGTACTTTTAGATATGACAACATTTACATTTTGACACAACAAACCTGTATGTTTAGTTTTATACTCCCTCTATTTAAAAATATATAGTATTTTTTAAGGCTTTTATTGATAAATAATTTTATATTTATTTTAGAGTGTTTAATAGGAGTAAATATAAAAAGATAGAATTAGTTTAAAAATAAGTAACTATTTTATTGGGGTAAGATTCGATTAAAAATACTTTATATTTTTTAACGGAGTGTATTTAAGGGTGTTCCTTTTTAATTAAATCAAAACATGTAATTTTTTATAGATAATTTATTCTGTAAAAAATAATTATTATTAATATTATTAACGTGTTAAAATTCACTTATATTATGCTAATTAGATAAAAATATATGAATTATATGAGGCTGAGTATCTAAATTAAAAAAAAAAATCAACCTGTTAATTTTTTTTTTTAAATAAACTTGTCAACAGCTGTATGATGGGAGGAGAGATGAATCCACGTTGTAAAGATTGAAGTACTCATTTACTGAAGCAGGTGAGCAATAACTTCACGTCTATCTACTCCATGAACGAATCATTAATTATTCCTATTTCATTCCATTACGCATTATTAATGCGCTCCACTTTCTCATCACTACCAAATACCCACCACACAAAATCAACAGCCAAATTTTGTGTTTTTGCCAGTGTCGGCTTTTTTGTCTCTCCCATTTATTTTTTATAAATACTATTGTTAGTAGTAGCTTAGCTTCTAATTGTTCTCACTTACAAAGAAAAAAATTTATAGGCAAATCCACCAACATATTGTACCCATGGACATTAATTGGTTAATCCTCTTGTTTAATATATTTACCATGCTATTTCTTTTCTTTTTCTTTTTGCCTCAATTATATTTCTTTACTTGTATGAGTAGTTTTGTATATGAAAAAACAATAATAATGACAGGCAAATCACGGTTAAAAATTATTTTCAATGATTTATCACTGTGAAAACGTCTCGTTAACATATGTATTCTTTTTTTGAACACATTCCTTTTTATTTTTAAAGGCAAATAATGAAATTTAATTTCTGAAATATACATTCAATCTTTTAATTTTATGTAATATTTTATTTTAATCTAATCCATTAATTTTATAAAATATCTTTTCAGTCACTTAATCCTAATATAATTTGTTTAATTTCATCATAAAAAAATTTTCAATAAAATTTTAAATATTGGTAGCACATTTTTAAATGCTAAAATTAAGTTCAATCTTTTTAAAGTAACAATAATTGAAACAAAAAAATCATTTAAGACTAATACTATTAGGGTTAGAGAATTGAAAAGGTATTTTATAAAATTGAGAGATCAAAATTGAAACATTGTATATAAGGTTAAATGATAAAGATATATTTTAACCAAAATTTGAAATAAAAATTTTGAAAAGTGAATAGCATACTCTTCAGGATATATCTATATATATTATATATAGCCCTAATCATGTTGAGACCCCGACCAGCATTTATAGAAAGCATGCCCTCCGATCTGTGGGTGTCCCGCTTCGTTGGATCGGGGTTCATTGGTCCTCCGTGTGCTCTGAATTACTCGTCCTCCAACCAAAACTAATAAATGAAAAAATAATAATTTATTGTTGGGATGACCTCGTGTGAATAAATTGTAAATAATGATCATGTGGGTGCATATATATCAAAAATAAATGAACCACGTTAAATATATACTTACATGTAAGTCTATCTATATCTGAATTATATTTGTCTATTGATCATATAAACAGAATTTCCCCCTGCATTACTTGTCTCTTTAATTTGACATGCACTTGGTTTTAACTGGGCTTAAAATCATTTTTGATAAAAATTAAAAAAGAAGCAGCAGGAACCCACTAACTCATCTAACTACTTCTTCAATCCAGATATCCAATAAGAGTCTCGCACCGAACTTTGCAGTCCTGTGCAACGATTACCTGCCAAGTCAACAAGTGTTAAGTATGGGCTCTTGATTAATTCCTTTGTCATAATATGAAATGAAGTTCGCCAAATTTATGTCCCAGAGGTCGGAGAAGCCGAGAGAATAAGCTCAAACACATATTATTAAGATGTATAAGCATGGGTGAATCTAAAATGATGTAGAAAACCTTATATCAAATAAAATTGAGTTTAATAATTAATATAAACTAAGCTCTTGAAATTTTAAATTAAGATATAATATTTTTTTAATTGTTCTTCAACCATTTGTTTCCTCCTCATTTCCAACGTATATACCCGTGTATCACACCAATAATCATTTATCACTAGTTAGAAATTTTAATTAGGGGGCTGAGATTGCAAACTAAAAGTTTTGGCGAGCTAAGTAGTGCCTATAATATTTTATTTAGAAGAAATAAAAAAAATGTAGGGGCCCTTTCTCCTATCTCCACCACTATTTATCAGCCTCATTAATTTTAATTTAAGGCAAAAAAAAAAAAAACCAACAAAAGGGGTACAGAATCACATATCGTTGAACACACTTATGATATAATTGTTGGCCAACTTATAACAATTAATGGACCAAACTTTCAACTTCCGACGAGAACAATGTCTGGGAGAGAAAAGAGAGGGCTGTGAGAATGCATCGCAGGCTAAACACGGAAACTTTTCTCTTTCTTCCAGATTTGGCTTCAAAGTAATGCGAAATTTGTAGTGAAGATGATTCTTATACTTGTTTTTCTTTCTTTAACTATATTGTGAACAATAATCTGCCAATCAACCCTCTGCTGAATTATAAACTAGTTCTTCTACTTCAATATTATTAACTTCAGCTCACGACGAACAAATCAAAAGATCCTTAGCTTGAACAAACTTCTCAAAAGAGATCGTCGAAAGAACACCATTTGTCTCTAAATTGACCTGGGCAAGATAACAGCCTTGAGAGGGTTCTTCATCACAACCGTAAAAGCGAATGTCTCTGTCGGATCGGGTGGGAAATTCGGAGCCGGTAACCACTTGAAAGCATGCACCATTCTCGCCAGCATTAAACTTATATGCAACGTTCCCAGCGTCCAAGCCGGACAAATCCTCCTTCCGATCCCAAACGGCATCATCCTCACCCCCTTCGTCCCAGTTACGTCCACCTCCACCCCGTCGCCGGTTAAGAATCTCTCAGGTCGGAACTCGTCCGGATTCTCCCACATACTCGGATCCTCCGTCAACCACGCCGTGTAAAACTCCACGCTGGCATCTGCTGGTATCGTGTACCCTCCGAGCTCTGTCTCTGTCGTTGCTGCGTGCGACAGCACGAAATGGCTCGGAGGGTGTCGCCGGAATGTCTCCTTCACCAGCGCAGTGAGATACGGCATTTTCTCGATGTCACTCTCCAACACGACGCCGTTTTTCCCCACGCAGTCCACGATCTCCTTGTACAGTTTCTCCTGAATCCCCTGGTCCATCACCAAGTGGAGCAATGCCCATTCCAACGCCGTCGCGCTGGTGTCAGTCCCGGCGCTGATAACCTCCGATACTAATGTTACCAACTCCTCCTCCCCGAGCCTGCCTCTGCTTGGAACATCCAACCCGAATAAAGAGTCCACGTAAGCAGCACCGATCGGACTCACCATTTCGGAATTCTCGTTAATCTCCCCGTTGCTCTGCACGTAAGCTTTTCTGCTTCTTATCAGGGGCGCGATAAGATCCACTTGCGTTTTTCGCAACTTTTTCGCTTCTTTCACTTCGCGACGAAATAATGGAGTTAGAACGGGCAAGAAATCTGGAAGCTTTGGAAGGGTGATGATCATGACGTCTTTCAAAATGCTTTCTATTCTTCTGATTCGGTTCTCAGTGATTTTGGCTCCAAAACAGAGACATATGAGGATACTACAAATCGTTAGTCTACAGTTGCTCAAGACCTCGACGAAGCCATTTTCATGGGCTTCAGCTTCGATCCTTCTCATGTGAGCCTCCACCGCCCATTTTCTTATCCACGAACATTGCTTGATCCTCAACGGCGTTATCATCTCCGACACCATGTTCCGCCGAAGCGTCCTCCACAGAGGACCGTACTCGGCAGAGTTGATGGCGCATTTCCCCATGCTGAAGATGAGCCTGATCGGCGAGTCAGCTGGTCGACTCGCGAAGAGAGGGCCTCGCTGAATGAGAGCTTCGTGGATCAGGTCGGCACTGGTGACGATGATCAACGTACGTTGGCCCATTTGCATGGTGAAGATTGGACCATACTTTTTCCGCAAATCGCGTACAACGTAGATGAAGTGACGGCGTTGAAGGATGACTTGGAAGAGGTTTCCGACGAGAGGCCAGCCGGGTGGTCCTGGGGGGAGGTTTTTGGGGCCGCCTCCGGTGGTGGACCAGCTGCGCCACCAGTAACGGAGGAAGAGGAAAGCTGAGAGGATCAGAAGAATGTCTATGAGCTCCATCATTTTTGGAAAGACAGAGAGTTGCCTCACCGGCGATGGTTGATGAAAAGACGAATGCAAAGTGTTAACACTTGACAGGCAGAAAGGCCGCTTACAGCTTTTATAATGAAACGATGATTTCCCATTTGGTCAGGGCATTGAACTTCAGTGCTCGTCGACGTCTGTCAGATTTTGAACTGAACGGTCTAGATTTATTAAAATAAAATTTATAAAAATTATAAAATAATTTTAATAATTTTTTATTTTTAATCTAGGTTTAATTTGGCCTAGGTTTAATAACTATCTTGATAGTTAATGTATAATAATTATAAAAATTTTAATATTGAATTAAACCCTCTAAATTATACCTAGATTAGATAAAAAATATAAAAAATTTTATTTTAATAAACATGAAATAAAAATTTATAATAATATTTTAAAGTTGAACCCAAGGATCAAAATGGTCCACGAGCACCAAAGATGAGAGCACTTGGTCAGGGAAAATGCGTTTAATCGGGGATCGTAAATGGTGGAAATCCTAATCTTCAAAATTTAGTCATCCACCTCCAACACACCACCCCCCCCCCCCCCAAAAGAAAAAAAAAAAAAAACAATTTGAATGATGGAGGCGCTCATGCCAATCCAGTTAACAAGGTTTTGACACTGATGGGTATTAAATCTTAATGTGTCAAATACTTACTGGAAGATCGACACTTTTTTAGAAGAGATTATTATTATTTTTAATATGTTTATCGAATCAAATGAATTTTTAAACTTTATTAACTCTATTTTAAAATTTAATAAGTTTCTACCTTCATTTTTAAAAAACACAAAAAAATTATCTTAAATTATTTTTCATAATATTTAATAAGAGCAAAAAAATAAGAATATAGAAATAGTGTATTATCTTATAAATTAAACCAAAATTAATCTTTTCTATGTCTTAAAAATAGGTCAGACAATGAGAGGAGAGAAATGATGAGCAGCGTGGACAAAGCACAGACAACGAGCAATAGCAAACTCGACAACAAGGTGTGAACTTTAGCTTCAAATAAACCAGAACGTGGGAAAAGTAGTGTTGAGAACATGGGTTGAACTTGTAGGCTCAATCTGCAAAAATGTGGCAGGTTAGGTTGAATAAAATGAATTCATTTACATGTAAAGTGATTTTATAACTTGGATTCATAACAGGCTAACTTATGGATTGACGAGTTAGTCATTTTTTCTTTTAAAAAAAATACAATAGAAGTTGAGAAGACAAATCTTTGCTTGCTCGATGGATAGTGACTCTTAACTTTTCATTTAAATTTTAAAATTGATTTTATTAAATTATCTCAAATTCAAAGCATATAAACAGACAAGTGAGTCAAAGAATCAAATTTTAAAAGAACTATAAAAATAACATTAGTAGAACAGATCTTAAATTAGTTTTCAACTTCATACAATATATAAAAAAATTAATATGCCTCCCATGAATTGAAAGTAAATTAATAATTGACTCACATCATTAATTACATAAAAGTGTCGGTGTAGTTGATTCAAATTTTTTGTTACATTAAATAATAATATTATTAGATTGTATGTATAAAAAAAGAATAATAAAATTAATAATCACACCAAAATCAATGAAGTTGGACAATAATAGCAAATTAATAATTTTTTATATTTTTAGTGCTAAAATTCTTTATAACTTATACAACGAGTATGGTATGGAGCACTAGACAATGTCTAATTATGCAATTTCATGATTTAAAAGATATAATTTGTTTGTTAACAAAATTGAATCAAATTATTGTGCATGTTTTGATTATAAAATAAATAAATATGGATGTGATAAATTACATCTAACTAAATTGTGGGTTATGTGATTTGCACAAAGTCTAAAGTGTTCCAAGAAAAAAATTTTGCGTGTTATTTTGATGACCCCTAATAGCTACGAGTGCAAACTTTTATTGTCACTCAAATTATTAGTTTTTAGGAGAAACTATGATGAGGTGATTTTGCAATTTTTAAAATTGAAAAGAATTATAAAAAAAATATGTTTTTACTACACAAAAATACAACTCACCAACGTACAAGTTATGCCAATCCGCCTCGCTAAGCTCATGAATCATTGCAGCCAACCCATGGCCCATAGGTTAGCCTATATTACCACTTCTAAAGAAAAGACATGGGGCTGAAGTTGTTGGCAAGGTTCTTTAGAGAGAGACAAGCAGAAGCCGCAAAGAACAATTTTGAATTTGGGATTTGCTAGGGATAGATTTTAAGAATTTGAAAAATTTCAGTTTTTTTTTTAAAAACCTAAATGAAATCATTTTGAGAATTTGCTAACTGAAAAAATATAATCCAGCCAATATGTTGAGTTATTCAAGTTAATTCCATAACAGTGTAAAGAAAGAATGAAAGAATGACGTGTGTTCCATGATCATGCAAATCATGCATGCACGTTAGTTACAGCGTGAGTTACGCTATTTTGGAAGACAATATATCAGCATCCCTGATCTCGTGTTATTTCATTATTGTAATCCCAGATCCTGTAGATATGATAGTTTAGAGATACGACACTCTTGTATATATATTGTATACCCACAGAGGCACATACTGAACAATATACATAAAAAAAGAGAGCTTCTCTTTTTCTTTATGGTATCAGAGCGGAGGTTCTTTCTCCACATTTCCCTTCATATTTGAGCACCATTCATCAGTAACAGAATGACAAAGTCTGATATCTCTGACTCGCAAGCCACTATGGTAGATGCATCCTCACCATATTACCTTCACCCCTCTGATAATCCAGGTCAAGTATACATCAGTGACCTGTTGAATGAGGGCAACTATATGGAGTGGATCAACGATATGACTAACATGCTACTTGCAAAAAATAAAATCGATTTTGTTGATGGTAGTTTTTCCATGCCCGCCGTCGACTCTCGACACCTTAGTAACTGGATGCGATATAATGCAATGGTGAAAGGGTGGTTGAAAGGGGCTATGGATAAAGATGTTTGAATGAGTGTGCGGTATGCCAAAACGGCTCGAGAAATTTGGTTGGACCTTGGAGAGAGATTCGGCAAGGGAAGTGCTCCAAGGGCCTTCGAACTATGCAAAGCAATTGTACTGTCACGGCAGGAGAATAAACAATCTGTGCCGACTTATTACACAAAGCTCAAAAGCTTATGGGATGAGCTCATGACAATCATGCCATGGCCAAGGTGCTCGTGTGGTAACTGCAAGTGTGGCATCGAGAAGCAGATCATGGAGATGAAAGAGCGTGAGCAGTTGTACGAGTTCCTCATGGGTCTTGATGATAGCTTCAATATTGTCAAGACCCAGATACTCAGCATTAAACCACTACCTCGGCTGGGGCAGGCATATCACCTTGTAGTAGAGGATGAACAGCAGCGTCAGATCTCTGCAATAACCAAACCATCCCCTGAAGCAGTTGCTTTCCTCACTCAAGCAATGCAAAATGGGAAGGATGGCATGGACCGACGAGAATCAAAGAAAGAGAGACCCAAGTGTGCCCACTGCCAGAAGCTTGGCCACACGGAAGATCGATGCTATGATCTTATGGGATATCTACCAGATTGGTGAAAAGGAGGACGAAAAGAGAAGTCAAGTGCAAGCTCAAAGGAGAAACGACATGCTCCACACGCTGCACAGGTCATTGTCAATGAGAGTCCAATACCAGGACTTACCCATGATCAATATGAGCAACTCGTGAATTACTTGAACACTGAGGGGGAGAAACTTGCTACACTGCCCGTCGTCAATATGGCAAGTACTATATATTTTAACTCCCTTTGGGTTCTTGATTCTGGTGCCACAAAGCACATTACATGTGACAGAAGTTTGCTCGATAACGAGAAGGTGGCCACACATCATCTTCCTGTTCACATCCCAAACGGTCAACGTCTTTCTGTTCACAGCACAAGGAAGATCACTTTGACTAAACATTTGAATCTTAGTCGTGTATTGTATATCCCTGAATTTAAGTGCAACCTCATCTCGGTCAGTAAATTAGTTGAAGATCTTATGTGTTTGATAACTTTTGTTGTTGCTATGGTTGTCATACAGGACTTACATTCGAGGAACCTGATTGGAGTGGCTAGGCGGTGTGGTGGATTATATATTATGGAGCAGCCAGAAAGAAGAGGTGTGGCATTGCATGTTACAAGATCCACAAACTCAGCTTTATGGCACTGGCGGCTCGGGCATCCTTCTGAGGAGAAGATAAAGCATTTACATTTTCTAGCCAATATCAATAAGAGCATAGCTCCTTGTGATTCATGTTTTAAAGCTAAACAGACTCGATTAGCCTTTCCTGATAGTTCAATAAAATCTTCATCTTGTTTTGAATTAATTCATTGTGATGTATGGAGTAGTTATAAGGTCCCTTCACTTTCTGGGGCACATTATTTCCTTACCATCGTTGATGACTATAGTAGAGGGGTATGGGTTTATTTGTTAAAATATAAGTCTGATGTTACGCAATATTTGTCTCTGTTTCTCAACATGGTAGAAACACAATTTGGTGTTCGAGTTCGCAAAATTAGAACAGATAATGGACAGAAATTCCAATCCACCTTGCTTTCACAGATACTCTCAGACAAAGGCATTTTGGTAGAAACCTCTTGTCCCTACACGCCTTAACAAAATGGGGTTGTTGAGCACAAGCATAGGTATATCTTAGAGATGGCTAGGGCACTTTGTTTCCAAGCTCACTTGCCTCTTCAATTTTAGGGCAAGTGTGTTCTCACGGCTGTGTATCTTATTAATTGCTTGCCATCACAGGCAATCTCCAACTGCACTCCTTATGACATTCTCATGGGTAAACGGCCAGATTATTCTCATTTGCGGGTCTTTAGATGCTTAACATATGCCCACAATCCTAGACGCACAGACAAGTTCGATGCAAAGGGGAGACGAGGGATTTTCTTGGCTACCCACATGGTCAAAAGGGGTATAAACTATTTGATCTCACTACTGGGGAAGTCTATGTTTCAAGAGATGTGGTATTCTTTGAAAATGATTTTCCATATTTGCATATACCCAACATTGAATTTAATAATTCTACTACACGTCTATACGGTGATCACCATGT